TTGGTCTCTCCTTCTAGTGTATCACTTTAATTAATAAGAATTTCAGAACACTCACTCTGTAGAGCAAGCGGCAGGGAGAAGAATCAAGAGGGTGCGGTCTCTCCGGAGTACTTTCTTCCAGCCAGGTGTGGCAGCTTAGGGATGTAATCCTAGTACTTAGAAGATTAAGACAGGCTGGTCAGAAGTTGAATGTCGAGAGCTCGGGAGATGAGGGTTCAGTGGGTGACCAGGTCCCCAAAACTCATGTGAAAATCTGGCAGGAGCAGTGGGTGTCTTTAAACCCAGTGCTGGGTGGGAGTGGCCCGGGGTTTGAGCTCAAGAGGATCCTGGGGGCTTAGTGGCCAGCCAGTCTATCTGAAACTGACTTCAGGTTCAGTGAGAGACTGTTTCAATAAATAAATAAGATGGAGAAGTGGCTGAAGAAACCTCCTGATCTTGACATCTGACTCCCCAAAGCACTGACACAAACAAGTACACTTTTGTGTACACATACACACACCTTTTATTAATTAATTAATTAATTTTTTATTTTTGGCTTTCTGAGACAGGGCGTCTCTGTATTGTTTTGGAGGCTGTCCTTGAACTCACTCTGTAGACCAGGCTGGCCTTGAACTCACAGAGATCCGCCTGCCTCTGCCTCCAGAGTGCTGGGATTAAAGGCGTGCACCACCACCACCCAGCCACACACACCTTTTTAAAAAGTGTTTCCTGCTCAAAGTTATTTAGGAAAATACCAACCACCTCTGTTTCTTCTTATAGGAAATAGGAGAAATATGATTAAACAATAAAGAACACATATTAATATCTTGAACTAACAAACTGTGGGCCAGCAAAACACATTGTAAAGTTAAATATGAAAAATCTAAAAGAAAAGTAATTGTATAATAAACCACATTTTAGCTGGGCATTCAGACAGGAACAAAACAGTTGAAGAGGATTTGAACGTTAGTGACCTGTGGGCATTCCTCCTGGACCACACCCACAAAAACAAACACACCAAGTCTACACTTTATCAACAAGACCCAAGGCCCTGAGCAGTGAATTTACTTGCAACTTTTGTATCATTTGAAGGTTATTCAGAGTAATGCAGGTATTCCAGGATCTAAAGACCTCTAGAAAGTGAACATTTTACAAGAAACTAAGATATGCTAACCACCTCAGCTGTTCCTAAGCACAGTGTTTTCCTAATTCCAATTAGATCAAAGGAAAAATACTATTTTTCTTGTCAATTAGCATCAGGAATTAAGTTTGCTTTTGAAACTTCAAATTTACTCAGTGCCACGGAAAATAACGTCTCTGCATTTAAATTTGATGAAATTTAAATTAGGGATGAAAAGTTACAATATTTGGAGCTGGATTACTGGGAGCATTATCATTTTGGGTTGGTTTGTGGAGACCTGGTCTCCTTGGGTAACCTAGGCCACCCTCTAGCTCACTATCTTCCTGCCTCTGCCTCTCAAATGCAAGCGTTACAAGTGTGCACCATCATCCCATCTCTTGAGACTGCCAAGCAGGTGATCTGTCACTTAACTGTACCTCTAGGCTCCGTATGTTTTTACTCAGTTTTGTGAATTAATTTTGTAAGAGGGAAGAGGAACTATGGTGGTTAATATTTTTTCTTTAAAAAACCTTTTCAAGCCGGGCGTTGGTGGTGCACGCCTTTAATCCCAGCACTGGGGAGGCATAATTACATAATTAATAAAATTAATATTTTAGTGGGGCAGTGGTGGCACATACCATTAATCCCAGCCCTTGGGAGGCAGAGGCAGGTGGATCTCTTGAGGCCACATCCTGGTTTGCAGGGAGAGTTCCAGGACAGCAGAGGTTACATAGGAAAACCTATTTGGGGGGGAGTAAGCAAAAAAAAAAAAAAAAAAACAACCCACAGCTAACTATTTGAATGCATTCAAATATATAAAACTTTCATTTGTATAATACATTATATGGCATACGTGTGGTCATTATTTTTAGATGACTGTTAAAGCCAAACCAAGCAGAAAATCCTACATTCCCATACACTCCACTCCACTCTCTTCAAGACTTCTCTGCTGTCAAAATCTCAGACTCTAGTGGTACATTTGTTACAGCTGATGAAGCAACACACCTTATCAGCCAAAGTCCACACTTAATGTTAGCATTCTGCTCTTGCTGTACTTTCTGGCCCAATGTAAGTACATTTGTCATGTTTCACCACAGCATCATATAGAGAATAGTTGGCAATCACTGGTATCTTTTGTTCTCACTTTGCCATTCTTAGAGTATCAGTGTTGAAATCTTGCAGTGTATTGACTTTTTAGATTGTTGTCTTTGAGGAGTTTCATCAAAGATAATATTTTCCTTAGGCTGGAGAGATTGCTCCACAGCTATCAGCATTGGCTGCTCTTCCAAAGGACCTGAGCAGCACCTACTTGGCTGTTCACAACCATCTGTAACTTCAGTTCTGGGGGACCAGATGGGAGACTAGACGCCCTCTTCTGTCCTCCGTGGGCACTGCATGAATCTCCTACTGGGGTGCTTTGAAAGAATAGCAAGTGCTCTTAACAGCTGAGCCTGTAGTCAGATTTGAACAGACTAAATTTAACCAAGATGAAGCACAACATAGTTGACCTTTATTAGGTTGTACTGAATCACATCAGTTTTCTTTGGCTCTCTCTGTTGCCCACTGTATCATATGGAACCTTTTGCTGTAAAGGACCAGGAAAGATTTGGAACAATGAAAAAAATGCAACAAAATACTTAAGTTCATGCCATTGACCAAGTCCAAGGGAGTACTGATAACAATCGGTATCGTTTTGTATACAACTAACACTCCAGTTTTCTTTCTTTCTTTTTTCTTTTTTTTCTTTGGTTTTTCGAGACAGGGTTTCTCTGTATTGTTTTGGAGGTTGTCCTGGAACTCACTCTGTAGACCAGGCTGACCTCGAACTCACAGAGATCCTCCTGCCTCTGGCTCCGGAGTGCTGGGATTAAAGGCGTGCGCCACCAACGCCCGGCTGCACGTTTTCATTTTTTTTTTTTTGGTTTTTCGAGACAGGGTTTCTCTGTGGCTTTGGAGGCTGTCCTGGAACTCGCTTGGTAGTCCAGGCTGGTCTCGAACTCACAGAGATCCGCCTGCTTCTGCCTCCCGAGTGCTGGGATTAAAGGCGTGCACCACCAACGCCCGGCGCACGTTTTCATTTTTAATGATTTATTTTTATTTTGTGTTCATTGATGTTTTGCCTGCTTGTATGTCTGTGTGAGGGTGCCAGATCTCTGGAACTGGGGTTAGACAGTTGTGAGCTGCCAAGTGGGTACTGGCAATTAAACCGGGGTCCTCTGGAAGAGCAGCCAGAGTTCTTAACTGAACCATCTCTCCAGCCCCCATAACAAGCACATTTTAAGAACAAGAAAGCTGGCCTATTATTTTATTTGTAAGATGCCATTGAGTGTGAGATGCATTTCCATTTTGGAGTCATAAAAATACTTTAAGAATTCATTAAAAGTGGGTGTTAGAATTGATTAATTACAATCGTGGCGTTTAAAAACTTGTGTTGCTGTTTCCATGTATGGATTCCATCCTGCTGTAACTATCAAAAAGTAACTCTCAGCAATGTGAAATTAAATTTTAGGCATGATTCTTTCTCGCTGATTTTACACCGGTAGAACCAGCGACATTGCAAACCCTAAATTCTTGTAATTTTAGTTTATGTATCATGTAAATCACAGATTGAGGCTGCCCAATTATTTCATTTGGATTTTTCAGGACAGAGTTTTTCTGTGTAGCTTTGTAGACCAGGCTGGCCTCGAACTCACATAGATTCTCCCTGCCTCTGCCTCCTGAGTGCTGAGATTAAAGGCGGGCACACCAGCGCCTGGTTGAGGCTGCCCAATTATCAACTACAATCAATAGAGGGAGGCCATGGGTTATTTTTTTTTAAATAACTTGAAAAATAAACAGTTTAAATACAGAACAATCGTAAATAATATAAATGTATCCAGGCTGAAGAAACATTATTACCAACCTCTCCCAGGACTGATTTAAAATTAGGATACTGTTTTGTTTTTCCACCACAGGGGTTCACTGAATTTGCCCAGCCTGGAACATGTGTGCTCAAGTGCAAGTAATCCTCCTGTCTCAGTCCCAGAAGTAACTGGGCTACATACAGGCTTCCCACACAGTGCCAAGCCTTTATCTCCCCGTTTCAGTATCGTGTGCATGTGTAATTAAACGGTGAAGTACTAACTAACGTATTTTTTAACACAGTATGTTCAAAATCTATCATTCCCCCAAATAACACAAGATGTGTGAATGAGATGGTTTGTCGGCATCGCCGGTGTACTGGCAACAGTAACAGCCCAATCTTGCTTGAACCAGCTACATTTTCGTAACTCTCTTGGCTACAGGTTAGCCAAGTTACATTCAGCTGCCCTAGTGGACGCACAATCTTGGGCGATTCCAGCATCAAGGGATTCTTCCAGTTCTGAGTCTGGGGATTCCTTAAATAACGCAGTCTGTTGGTTCCTCCGGATCTGGCCAAGGGAAAGTGTAGAGGCGGCGCGCGCTCCTTAGAGACGGTGCGGGGGGCTCACGGAGACTGAGCCCACGGGCGCGGGCGCGGGCGGCGGCAGCGGTTGGCGGCTGCCGGGCGGCGAGCACGCGGGGGGCAGCTCCGCCCGTGGGCGCGCGGGCGGGCACCGAGACGCGAGGGCGCCGCCCCCGGGGGGGGGCGGGCAGCGGGCTCCGGAGGGCGGGGCGGGGCGGACCGCACCGTGCCGGGACTCGGGCGCCCGCAGCGAGTTCGGATCAGAAGGCGAAGCCGCAGCGAGCGAGCGGGTCGGCGGCAGCGGAGGCGGCGGGCAGTCGGGAGGGTCCGGACCCCAGGAGCCCGAGCGCGCGGTAACGGCCGCCTGGAGCGCGCAGCGAGATCCAGCGCGGCGCCCGCAGCCCCCCCAGCGCGCGCACGCCGAGGAGCGCGCGGTGCCGAGCGCGCGCCCAGCGGCCAGGGGCGCGCAGGCCCTGCCCGCCCCTTCCGTCCGCACGCCCGCCGCCCCGCCGGCCCTTCCTCTCCCACCTTCCACTCGCGGCCCGCGCCCCGCACCCGGCGGCCCCCGCGTCCTCCTCCCGCGGCAGCGCTGTCCGCGGCGGCCGGAGCGGGCCGGGCCGGGCCAGCGGGCCGGGGGATGGCGCTGCTGGACCTGGCCCAGGAGGGAATGGCCTTGTTCGGCTTCGTGCTCTTCGTGGTGCTGTGGCTGATGCATTTCATGTCCATCATCTACACGTGAGTTGGAGGGTCGGGGCCTGGGGACCAGCTAGGCTGGCAGGCGTGTGCGCCTAGGAAGGGTAGCGGGTTCCGGGGGCGGGGGTGGGGGTAGAGAAAGCTGATCCTCTAACCGTTCCCCACCTTGGTCTCCTTGGGGCGGTGCGGCGCGGGGTCCTGGAGAAGGAATAGCGCTGGTGTCGCGACTGGGCTTCTGGGTTGCAGGCGACTGCAGAGCCCTAGGGAAGGAGCCTGCTTCTGTGTCGTCTGGTGGAGGGTTTCCTGCTTGGTCTGATTGTGTAGGGGATTCGTGTGATCCCTTTTTTCATCTGGGCCAAGATGTGTGGTGTATGTATTGTGGGGTCTCCCCCCTCCCTCCGCGCGGGCCACGTCTCTTGATGGTCCTCAACACTCTTCCGGGAGCTGCTCACCACCACCCTGAGACTTCCCTGTGGGTTTTCTCCTTCCTGGAAGACCTGTGTGCTTACATAGGTGTGGAGCACCTGCCCGCCTTGAAAAAAAAAAAAAACAAAAAACGTCGTCTCCGAGCCAGTCTGTGTATAGCTTTCAGTACTGTCAGAGTGGCATTGACTTACCTCCCCCCTCTCTCTCTCGTCCTCCTTTCTTAATTTGTTATTTATTGGCTTATTTGTTTGGAGTTGTATCCTTCCTGCCTGCCCTCCACATAGAAATTTTCATTTGACAGATACCTCCCGAGGCCTACTAGATAACCACCTAGTATTGGACTAGGGACACAGAGATGACAGGAGGACAAAACTCCTGCCCTCGGGAAGCTTACATTCTAGAAGGATGAAACATGATGAAAATCCAAAAAAAAAAAAAAAAGGTTATTTCCTATAAAGCAGGACAGGGTGATGGAGTAGAAAGACATGATATAGGTGATCCTTCAGTGAAATATCAATGAAGTCTACGTAAATAAATGTGTAGAGATGAACTCACTTGGCATTTTATCCTGGTTGGGGGGGGTCATAGAAATAGGGTAGAGTAGGATGTTAGTTTTAGATGCTTTTCTCCATTCAGTGCGCCATTTCCTGAAGCTGAGAAAGATGACACTTGTACAAGATAAGCTGACAGTTTTTTAGGTTTTTGGTTTTTGGTTTTTTTGAAAGTGAAAGAAAACATACTTCGGGCAGTATGACATTGCTGACTCTAGACTTTTTAAAGCTGTGTTCCTTGTAACTACACAGGCTCTTTAAAAAACCCAATAGTTACTATATAAGAAATTTAGACAATACAGAAAGGAATAAAGAGTATAGTTACAACTTATACCAAAATATTACCCTGTTAACCTTTTGTGCCTACATTCCTAATTATATATGTATATCTTTATATGAAGAGGGCAGGCAGAGGAGGAGAGAGGAAACGAAGTCCTGACTGTTGTTCTGTAGCCTGCTTTAAAATCTCACCTACTTAATGAGTGGTTTTTTGAGAAGCAGTGCAGGGCACTGTTCTAGGTACTAGAAGTATAAGCACAAAGAACCAGACACCTCGGGCTACTGCTCAAAGTGACCCGATCCTTGTCTTTTCCGTATCAACAAATGTGTGAGCTCTCTTCAACGTTTGAGTTAGATGCATAGTATTTTAGCTTATGAGTTATTAATATTGATTTGTTGTTACCGATAGGCAGTTCGGTTGATTCCAGTTTATTAAGCAGCATTGTAATGATTTTATTTGTATTTCTTGACTTTTTCCAGTGCTGGGAACCAAACCCAGGGCCTTCTGCATGTTGGGCAAGTGCTTTATCCTTATCCTTGAGATACATTACCAGCCCCTGTAATGAATTCTTACACATGTATCTCCTTAGTTCACACTTCAGAGGGAGGAAGTATTGAACAACAACAAAAAAAAATGGTGCATCTTTTAATCCTTGATACAATGTTGCCTTATAAAAAATGTTACAGCTACTCATAGTCCTGGCCATATTGTGAGGGTTATTTCCTTGCTCTGCATCCTTTATTCTTCACCCTTTCTTTTGTTTTGATTTTCGTCTGTTTAGTCATTGGTTCCACTGAATAGCTTTTCAGATATTTATATGCTAGTTTCATTTCGTCATAAATATGTGGGCATGATCTTTTGCTTGTACTGGAGTTTATTGCCAGGTTCATCTGTTTAATGTGAAGGTAACTCCTGTGTTAATCTGTCACACGCTGTAATTTTCCCCCCAGTCTATTTTATTGTCTCTCAACTTGAGACTGGAGTGTTAAGTGGACGACAGGTCCTCTGTTTTATGTTTCCTTTTATCGCCTGCATTACCAATTATTACATATGTTAGTCTGTTTCCTTCTAATGTTGTGAATTTTCTTTTTTTACTTATTACACTGCGATTCTCTTAGCATTTTTCTTTGTTATACGATGAGAATTTAGAACCCTAATTTTAGCTTCACTTAAATATTTACCAACTTGTTCCCAGGTCATTTATCAAATGGTTTGATTGCTCTTTTGTTTAGAAAAATAACAGCCTTTTTCATAGACTAAATTCTTTGCACTTAGGTGTATTTCAGGGCTTCTGCTGTTTCATGATCCCACTGTTTTCTGTACAAGATCTATTCTGTTTTATTAGTGAAGTTTTATTAGCTGGTGAGACAGCCCTTTCATTTCTTAAAAACTTCCTTGACTTTTATAAATTTATTACTTAGAGGTGAATTTTAGAATCTTTGTTTCAGAGTCTCTAGTTTGTTAGTTGTGATATTCTATTTACTGATCAACTTGGAGCACACACTTCTTCCAGACATTCTGAAACACAGCCCCCTCCAGTGTGTGTACACAGTAAGCATCACACTCCCTGAATATTAACATTGATGTATCTAGTATTTCAAATAACCAACCAGAGTGTGTTTACTTGTAGACTTCAGAATTTATTTAATTGCTTATTTTTTTTTGTGACTAATGCTTTATAAACAGATTTTCTCAGAATAATCTTACTTTTTTGTTTTTGTCTTTGAGTTAGGGTCTCACTAGGTAGCTCAAGCTGTCCCGGTACTCATCATTATGTAGACCAGGCTGACCTTGAACCCAGAGATTCACCTGACTCTGCCAGAATGATGGGGTTAAAGGTATATATCACCCACTTCCAGCTGTAATTTTACAGTTTTGAACATAGTGTAAAAACTTAGCTTCCTTGAAGTGCTATAAAAAGGCTTTGTGATTGTTTTTTAATACTCCAGGACATTACCTTTAAATTTTTAAAAGTCGTGTGTGTGTGTGTGTGTGTGTGTGTGTGTGTGTGTGTGTGTGTGTGTGTGTATGTGTGTGTGTGTGTATGTGTGTGTGTGTGTATGTGATGGAGGTGAGATGACAATCTGCAGGAGTTAGTTTGGCTGGAATTAAACTCAGGTTATCAGGCCTGGTGGCAAGTACCTTTACCTACTATGCCATATCTCCTGCCTCAATATTACTCCCCCCCCCCCTTAAGAACATGTTCTGGGGCTGGCTGTAGTGGTACATGGCAGGTAGATCTCTGAATTCAAGGCCAGCTTGGTCTTCATAGTGGGTTCCAGAACAGCCAGCCAGAGAGACCCTGTCTCAAAAACACAAAAACAAAACAAATAAAATTTATAATTATGTTTGATTTGCTAATTACAAGCCTTGTAAATGCTTTTTTGTTTTTTTTGTTTTTTGTTTTGTTTTTTGGTTTTTCGAGACAGGGTTTCTCTGTGGCTTTGGAGGCTGTCCTGGAACTCGCTCTGTAGACCAGGCTGGCCTTGAACTCACAGAGATCCGCCTGCCTCTGCCTCCCGAGTGCTGGGATTAAAGGCGTGCGCCACCAACGCCCGGCTGTAAATGCTTTTTGAAATGGATAAGTGAATGTGAAATAGCCAGAGTAGTTGGCTCACACCTGTAATCTCAGCACTCAAGGAGGCTGAGGCAGGAGGACTGTGCTTTGAAGGCTAGCCTAAAATATATTGTGAGACCCCCATCTCACAAAAATAAAAACTAAAAAAGCAAATATGAATTCAGCCATACTCTTTTTGTTTTTTTGTTTTTGTTTTTTGATGAGGTTTTCTTTTTGTGGTCTGGTCCCACCTTCATTTCCCACTTTTTTACATGTATGGTTCCATTATAAATAATAAATACATAAGATACTTCCCAATTTGATGGGAATTGTTTTCAAGAAGAGAAAAAAATTTTCTTGCCATATCCTTACTTCATAAATAAAATTAAAGTTGAGTCTCAGTATTTAGCAAAGTTAAAGAACTATGGAAATAGTATTTTGTTACAACACTGTGCAGAATCTTATTTGCTTATTATTTAATTTTTTTGAGGCAGTGTTTCTCTGTGTAGCCTTGCCTGTCCTGGAACTCTACTGACTGTTGGGATTAGAGGTGTGTGCTACCACTGCCTGGCTTTTTTTTTTTAGGGGGATCATTATTTTAATAAGAGGTTATGTTTTCTGAATGAATATTTTGTCTTTATCCCTCCTGTCCTTTTAAGTAAGACAAAGATGAAGTGGGCTGATGCTGGTGTCCTCCTTCTGAAAACTTGTGCTGCATCTGGTTGTCTAGGTGTTGCCAGGATTCTAAATACTGGCACAGCTCTGTATCCTGTGTCAGGTGAGCATAAGGGTGGGCTCCCGAGTGTTACAGATGCATAAGTAACACCAATGTTGCAATAAAAATGTAAGGCATTTTGGAAAGTTACTTTTTTAAAAATTAGATACAATGTATCGATGGCATGCTTAATCTTTTCTATTATATCTTCTTACAGTTAGATAAAGTCTTGGCCTGTATTTTAAACAGTGTAGCTGACATTTGATAACATGCTGACCAGCTATTGTTCAGTGAAGTTATTTGTTGTGATTTCACAGGTGTCTCACAATTCCCATAAGTATCCCCCCTCCAAATAAAAAGTAGTTGTCTATAAAATAGAAACAGGTATTTCCCATGTTAAGAGTCTGTCTCTACTCAAGAAATCTCTACCACCCACTTTGTTCCTCCTCAGCTTTAATATCAAACAGAGGCACAGTCATTTCATAGTATTATTTTAAATGGCAGCTCCTTATG